TAGCTTGTATGCTGTGCACATAAACATCAAAAAGTAGAATTATTGGCTGGACCTCAATTTACCAAGATAAAGTAAAAATATCGGTATCTCTATTAGTCCAGATATAAGGTCATCATGACTATAGACTACACACTGGCTAATCTCCAAGAAGTGGGTACAAAGTTATTGTTTGTATAATGTATGTATTTGCAATTTTTCTGCAATGGACACTAACTATAATTATATTTTACTTGTGGCTATTGGGATGCTAAACATCTAAATCAATTCTCTGTGTAAATGGGATCTTTGGCTATAGCATTCTTTTGTTATAAATCAAAACTATATAGCATATTATGTGTGGTATATTCATCAATTTCCACCTTTCTATTTGTCTTTCAACTCTTGGCCTTAAGCTCAAATACCCCCGTTGTGGATACACATGGTTTTTGACTCCTTATTTGGGTCATGGGGGAGAAAGATAATGTATTTGATTTCTGGAACAAACTATCCCAAAGGACACAATGGTAGGCCAAGATTGGGATTGTATCATTAACAGATCTGCATAATTACTTTGTCCAGTATTTTATATTGACATACCACCCACAAGGAGGGATCCTTTGGAAAGCTCTCCAGAGAATAAAACCCTGCCATTCTTCATTACTTGTCCTGGACATTTACCCCTCTGGACATCTGAAGCCCTTTTGCTTTAGCATTACACACAATGCACAAATATCTCTGCAAAAAACAGTTTGTGTGGAGCATGGCTTTTTAGTTGTATAAACATTTCTCTACTATTCTGATGAGCAGAATGCATGAATGCTAAGGAAAACCTTAGAGTTCTCGTAACTATGCAAGTCTTTGAAGACAGTTCATGAAATCTACTTGACCTGACCCTTGCAAAAACACTCTTGAAGCTCTGTTTAGCTAAAGCTTTTCCTACAATGTCCTCACATCCTCTTGACACTTCACCATCCATGTCTTTTCATTCATATTTAGTCTGAATCATAGACAGTACAACATTTAACGTAAATCCAAGCTTTATTGAATTAGTAGGCATTATACAGAGACTGCAAGTCATTATTGGTCCAGCACAGATACAGGTGTTTATTCCGAGGTGAAATGAGAGGACAAATTGACAGTTCTTCTATTACTTGAACTATTTCTTTAAGGTGGCTTGTTATGGACACTATCTCCCTCAATACCCATTCAACACAGTCTTTGCTTTCAACTTTCCCTTCAGCAGAGGGATTTCCAATGTCTAAAGGAAGCTTGTAAAGAACCCTTCTGTACCAGAGGTAGTTTTGTGCCTGCATTATGCATCACAGAAGACATCTAAACAAAGACTCCATAAAAAGGGCAGAAGAGAGAGATATACTAGAGCAGAGTTGAGATCCGTGAATTCTTTCAGCTAATTGGCTACAGTGGCAAAAGTATCAACCAAAATTTAGAATAGCCTTTTGTATATTTAATAACAAAGCATGCAGTAGCCTATGCAGACAGTAGCTTTTAATAACAACCTTAAATCTGGCTTGAGCACCAAGGATGCATTTTTAAAAGTATAAAGTATATTTATTTGCAATGACTACTGTAGTGGTTGAATTAGGCCCCAGGACCCCCCCAAAAGACATGTTCCTTCATGTGCTAATCACCAGAATTTGAGATATTGTCATATTGGTTAAGCAGCTATGGACAGGTGTTAAATTTAGGCTGTGAAAATGAGGCTGTTGTCATAGATAATCTGGATGCTTTATCAAAACAATCCTTAAAATAGAGAGGCAGAGGTAGATTGTATATACAGAGGGGGAGATGTCAAAAAGACAGAGCAAAGTGGGATGAAGCCACAATCCAAGGAATAATAAAAATCACAAGAAAAGTGGCAAAGAATGGATTTTCTACTAGAGCCTGCAGAGGAGTGCTGTCCTGCCAATAACTTGGTTTTGGATTTGTGGCCTTAAAAAGATTACAGAACCAGAAATCTACTCTTTTATCCCACTGTGTTTGTGGGAATCTGTTACAGTAACCATAGGACTCTAAAAGGAATTTTAGTATGAGATGGGGTATTGCTATGACAAATACCTATAGATGGAAAAGTGGCTTTGGAATTGGATGCTGGGTGGAAGTTAGAACAATTTTTGATGACGAACTTAATAGAGAAACTACAGATTGCCTGAGCCACTGATGGGAATGTGGATGATAAAGGCATTTCTGGTGAGGACACAAAAGGAAATGAATATTTTATTGGGGACCAGAAGAAAGGCAGTTGTTGTTATATAGCAGCAAAACAGAAGACAAACATGTGAATTGTCGCTGATAGTTTTGTGGAAAGCCAATCTTGATCTTGTAAGTGATCAAGTTGGGTATTTAGCTGAGGAGCTTGGTAAGCAAAGTGGTGTAGGTATGAGCTAATTCATTCTTGCTGGGGGCGGGACAGAATGCTTAAGAGAGTGAGGAGGAAAAAAAGAGGATAATATATGAGACATGAAAGTAAAATGGAAGTTACCGATGGAGCTGTACCAGGGGTAGTGGTGGAAGTGAGGGCAGGAGGATAGAAGGTAGGGAGAAGGGTCAACAGAAAAAGAAAATATGCATGAAAATATCATAGTGAAACTCATTACTTTTTGTCCTACTTTAAAAGAGAGCTAAAGAGAAGGAAATGAAAATGTTAAGGAAAGAAAAAGAAGAGGCAAATTGAAGAAAGAATTGTTACGTCAATAAGGAAACAGCACTTGATTTGGTAAATTCTGTTACTCTTAATGATGGTAAAATGAAGGAATTCTGTGTGAAGACGTTCTGTGGAGTGAAGGTGAAGGATGTGGCCTACCAGCTTTTAAAGGATGCCACTGAATGGATCAGGCATACATTCCTGGATTCATTCAACTATCTCAGAGAAAGCCACACACAGAGCTGACCAGGACTATTGTAAGTCACGTAAGTTAATTATGTGTCCTCTGAAGGGTTTTCTAATGTTTGTGAAAAGCATGTGGAATGCATTTAAATACAAATATATAATTTATCAATAATAGTACTTCATTCATTCTTGTTTACAAACTAGAAAATAAGGCAAGTTCACATCTGGAAAAGGTGATACACGTAAGTATTTCAACCTTAACCAGTTAGATAATATAGCAGGGCAAATGCCCCAAATTTCAGTCAAAGTTTACATTTCAACATCAATTTTCTACAGCCTGAAAAGCTAAAAAAAAAACCCACAAAATCTCAAAGAAGCCATATCACAATATTTCAGAAAATACTTTGTAAAGTCAAAAACGCCTATGGTCGTTATTTACATTAATTGGTAGAACCTAAATTTTGTGGTTATTGTTTTTAAAAAGTGTGTGAAAGTGGTATATTCTTAAGAGTGTATGTGTGTGTGTGTTTATGTGTGTAGTTTCATTTAAGAAAAAATGGAAAAAGACTCAGACATTGTTACCTTCTGATTTCTCTACTTATAGCAGCTTCAGAGTATTTTGAAGTATAATACCCAAGTAAGAATGCACTAGAGTGAAAGGCAACAGTTTAAATTACTATACATCTGTATAAAGAGTCTGTGAGCTACTGGTCACTTGTTTACATTATCTCAGAAGGTGGCTTGTCAACCCAGTCATTTGTTCTTTTCTCTGAATGTCTATAATGTGCTTTGGAGAAACAGAATTTTCTACATAAGAAATATACATACAAGCAATCTTTTACAGCAATCACAATCATCTGCATGAATTAGTCTTGAAATTACACTCCAGAGAATTTACACCAATTATTACAAATGCACATTGTAAGAGAATAGACAAGTTAAGTATAACTTCTGCTCTCTCACACATTTAAAACAATGCTGAGCTTCTTTTGCTGCTAGCGTTGTTTTGGCAGCATCACTGAAATGTGTTAATAATATAAGGTAAGTAAATATTCTGATGAAAGGGAGGTTTGCCTTGTTACTGGGGTATGCTGATGACAGGGAGGTTTGCCTTGTTACTGGGGTATGGAATTACTACATGAAGAGGACAAAACACACACACACACACACACACACACACACACACACACACACACATACATATATATATATATATAGAGAGAGAGTAGTAGCACAATTTGCTTTACTTCAACCACCAAAGTAGAATGGGAAAAGGGGTCAAACGGGAGAGAAAACAATTGACCTTTCTAAAGTTTTCTACTGCCTCCTGCATAAAGAAATCCCTTTTCTCCCTCTGGGCAGTTCTGATGTTCTATTCCCTACCTCTCAAGGAGGAAGGGAGAAAGACCCACTGGAGCGAAGAACCCGGAATCAATATCTTCCTCTCAAATCTAAAGAAAGGCAATAGAATTTTCAGGCTCATCCCTAACATATGCATGAACATGTAGAGGTTTTCTCAAAAATAGCTATATAAAGAAATCCTATAAGGCAGATATTTATGCAGAATTAGAAAATACTTCTTAAATAAAGTTGAAATCTAGCTGATTCTGTGAAACTTTGGCTTATTTTTAGTAATAGTAAGTGTGATGTCATGCTGAAACACTAAAAAAATGGTAGTATTAATTTCTGCCAAGTGGATGACTCCATCAGTTTTCATTTGAGAGCAGTTCTAAATACCTTAACTGGGGCTTATCTTCCAGAGTGTGTTACATGTACCTTGCCGATTATTAACACACCCATTCTCTTGCACATTACACTATATACTTAAGAAGAGCTAGAAGTAGACACTGAAAATTCTTCCTGTCGATTCCCCTTCTTTCTTTCTTTCTTTGTTTGTTTTTTTGGAGAGAAGGAAGGTGGGGTGGGGTGGGTAGGGTGACCTAGAAATTTCAGTTTTAAATTCTTTGACTGGCTGGAATGTTTGTAGAAGCCTTAGGATTCTTCCATTTGTTTTTTAGACTTTCATCTTCACAGTCAGGTCATCATACACAATGACAAGTAATGTGCCTCTTTACACTACAGAGGAACAAATGTTTTCTAATCATGACAGCTAGGTTAGGATTAGTGTACTTACAGTACTCCTACAAATACACATTACTTCACGCAGCTCAGCTTGACCTTTGTGGAAATTCATTTATTTCCATTCAAACCCTTCAGTGTATATTTTGTTCTCAAGATGGATGATTTTGTTTTCTTAAATGTCCCCATTCTCTCTGGCATCAGGAATCACTTGGCTGACATGGCTTCATTGTGGCGAGAACGTGATCTTTCTAGAGGGCACCGTCTGTTATCTGTAGGACAAAGAGAAGAAGAAGAGAACACATGGTGAGCTTTAGATCCTGCCTATTGCACAGTGTCAGGTCGAGAGAGCTTTTCAAACAGTCTTGAAAAATCACTTCAAATGAATATGGAAATAAGCTGCAAAGAGCCCGGATCTGAGGCGTTTACACTGCAGCTGCCAGGCTGAGTTCAAGAGATCTGCAATCAGCAAGAAATGATTTTTCTTGGTAAGCAGAGGCAGAGTGATAAAAGAAATGGAAGAATTCTCTCAAGCACAGACCCCTTGGAAATAAGCAGGTGACAACAAAATTCCCAGGTGAAGATGTTAAATTGAAAAGATCCATGTACAGTGCCTTTTGTTAAAAACCTCTTCAATCCCCATGAATTTTCAATTTGTATGCTGTCTACCTCTAAAGGACATCAGTGTATGCCAAGTGTGTGTGTGGGGGGGAGGGTTTTCTTTTTTTTTTAACAATGATTGCAATATATGGCATAACAATGATTGCAATATATGGCAATCAAAGTAGCTACTGAGTTTGCCTGATTGTATGATGTAAACAAATTCAATACATTATATAGTCATTACAGGAATGAATAATGAATGGGACCTATTCTTGGTCCCATTCCCCCTACCCATCACAGGAAGAATAATCACTTTAGAGATGACTGTTAGCACAAAGCTTGGAAAGCAAAGTTTAAAAGCATTGAAAGTTGCTGAAAATAGTTTTAGCTTTAATAGGGAGAAGGCTTACAGCTCTGCATTGTGATGATCACTACTATATTATTATCACCTCTGTTTTATGCTCAGCTTAAATGCAATTGATGTGGGTGAAAATCTCTTCCTGGCAAAAGCATAATATACTTAGATTCTCTATTTAGAATGAGTCTCGGTCCCTAGAAATAATGACAACCACCAGCACTTACATAAATGCTAACACTTTACACTAGTTAATTTGCTAATTCACACAACATCCCCGGGAGGTAAGCCCATTTCATTCCATCCTATTATCTCTGCTTTAGTGATGAAGGTTACACAGCAAATCAATGGTATGATGGGAGATTATAATGCAAAGTTAATGCCTAAATGTCAGGCCTGCTTTGTTCAGAAGTAGATATTGGAGTCTCCCAAGCTGCTATTCATTTCCTCCCTAAGATGATGATGGCCCACTAGCACATCCTGTCTCTCCATGGGGAGGCTGGACTGAGAAGTGCTGAGGTTTTGTCGTGATGCCTTTCTGGGCTGTGCTATCATCTCTTGTCTGACTCCCGGTAGTCTGTGGTCAATACACAGCAAAACTTTCTTGCACCCATGACCTTGGCCTCATTAACACCACCTTGTGAGTACACTGAGCAAACTAGTCAGAAGTTTAAAGCATACTCATTGCTTCAGAATGCAATCATATTGCAAAAAAGTGAGAAAGCAAGAGGCTTTCTGTACTTGGAGATACATCTGAGTGATGAATTATTTGGGTATCCTTTTGAAGATACAATTAAAAAATCCATTATTTAATTTGTGATATGGATCACAATTCAGCTAAAAATGTGAAGATAACATTCCTGGATAAAGGGCTTATTACTTAGATGGCACAGGTTTGCATACAGATTAGTTTGGGACTTCTTAGAAGACATTTAAAACTTAAGCTGCAATCACATGGTTCCCATTGCTTTTCGAGAATTAAAACTTCAGTGTTCTCAGATACAAGAATGATGGTAGCATTCCCAGAGGGTTGTGCCAGCTCTCTGAAAGAAGTGGGTGCACTGGGGATCCTATAAGCTAAGGTCAACAGGTATTCATGCTTCCCTCCAGGAAGACTCTGGCAGCCTATAACATAACTAACATCTAGTATATCACCTCCAAAACTCTAGCCTCACAGTATTAAATGATAGGATGTGAGGATTCACACTAGCTTGTAATTTATTGGTGGCATTCGGTGTGGCAAAATGCTTTTGAGCTAAAGCAAACTGACTAAAGGACGTTAAAGCTTTTAGAAAGTGGCATAAGCATTGGTTCAGGACCCAAACCTGGCTTTATAACTGATAGAAAAGAGAACTACTTTAGATTTTCTTTTTTTCTCCCTTTGATCTCCCCAATAGAAGCCTAGTAGGTTCCCAACTTAGTAAGATAATTACATAACGAAGAAATTCTGTAACTCATATTTTTGAAATATCAACCTACAACCTTGTTTATGAAGAAAAAGCCATTAAAAACAATGACAACAATTTTGGATCTGAATTTTTAAAATTAATTTCCAGTTCCTTATACTTATTTGAAACCTATTTTTGTCATAAAACATATATTTGTACCATAAAGTTCTATGGATCAAGCCATAAGTGGAAGTAAACACATCTCATAAACACACACACACACACACACCTGTATTTTCATGTCTATACATAGATTTTTCAATCTGTCTTCACGTCTAATGGCTAATAATGTAGGAATCATGATTTTTCTTGTTCAAGAGTGACTTCATATTTGAATAAGAAACTGAAATACTAATGAATGGATATTTGAAACATAACTTCCATATTTATGGTATTCAATACTAATAATCATAAGGACATATAAGGACCTCATAAGTCAGCATCACATTTATAATAAAAAAGGAACCTAGACATTATTGCTGTCAGAAGTAACAAAGTAATTGGGGTGATTGTGAAAATGATGGCAGCTCTTGTTTGGAAACAGGTGGAGGGAAGGAGTAGGTGGTGTGCTATATGATTTGAGGGCTTAGTAAGCCCTACTCAGGACCAAGTTCATTTCCAAGTCAACCAGAATTTGGTAAGAAAACCCTAGATAATTCTCCTTATTCGTGAGAGACAAGTTTTTGAAATAAACTCTATGTGTAGGTGATGCTACTATGGAGGTTGAAATCTTTAAAGAGTGGTATTGAAGTGAAAGGTATACTTATGAACATGCATGCATGCTATGGAGGCAGATAGTCTTCAGGAAATCTTCCAAATCTTTCACCAAAGGAGAACTTAAGCCCTTGTCTTGCCTTTAATGTGGTTCTATGACTTCTAATAGGCTTTCCATGTCAAACTAATGTCAAAGCTGTCCTTAATGTCATAAGAGCAAGAAGCTCCATGCCTTCTCTAAGCAAAAGTACATGTGGCATTAATTTCTAAACCTTGTTCACTATTGTAGTAAGTGGATTAAACACACTGTGGTACTTACTGTTCTAGAAATCACTCATACAATCATTTATTTAGTGACTATGTAAATAACACACAATGTAGGATACAAATAAATGCCATTATGTTTTAGATTTATACTTACACCTATGCCAATAATTTTGTTGTTATTGTAAATGCCAAGTAAAATAATCAAAGACTAAGCACAGGTCAAACACAGCGTAAAACTTAGAGGACATAAGTCAGACTAGAAGTCTCAGTTCTGCAGTATGCAACCTGGGGGTGTACAGTCAATACCCTAATAAAGTGTATGCCCAGGGCTGTATCTTGCATACTAAATGAGATGGTCAAGTTGAGACTGAAACTATGATAAAAAGGCCATGTCCACTACCTCTTCTTCTCTTAGTGTAATGTGCCTCTGTAGTCCTCTAAAGAATAATGCCTTTAAAAAATATTGAGCTCAAACTAGGCATGCAATGAGGTGCTTTATCCTTTCCTTGTAGAAATTTTGTTATTAAATGTCTGACATATAATACTTAGAACATGATCTTTAAAGGCCATGTATTCATTTTATATTATGCAAATATATCATAATTTACTAGTCATTTATTTTCTGAAGAATATCTAAGTATCAATTTGATACTGTAAAACTGTAGCAACAATGGAAAAATGACCATCCTTATAGTTACATCCATATGTACTCCATGTATAAAAGAGGCATTACTAAGGTATTCAGACATAACCCCAAATAGTATTAGAGAATAGTTGCATTAATTTAAATCCAATTGGCAGTACATGAATTTGTCTGTCTTATCTCTTTGGGTAATAATCTTTTAAAATGTGCTAATCTAAAAAGTGAAAAATGACATGATTCATTCCTTTTGCATTTTTTCAAATATTAGTGAGGTGGAACTTCTCATATATTACCATCCATTTATTTTTCCTTTACATGCTGGCCTTGTCCTTTGAGATTTTGTTATGCTGTTTGGTTTCGCACATGATATACTTAAAACAGAAACTAAGTGAAATATATTAGAAATATTTTCCTTCGTTATTTGACTATTTTGTGTTATGGATTTTTAGGACTGTATGGTTTCATTTTTTTACTATTTTTATGTAACTAATTATGTCAACATTTATATTTTGATATATTCTTTTATTCCCAACTTTCGCTAGTAGCCATTTTCTAGTAGACATGTCTCTAATATCCAGACATTTTATAAGTATCAAGTCATAATTCTTCATGGTCTTTAAAGTTTAATCTATTCATATGTAATTACTAAAGATATCCTCAATTTATTTTCTTTCACAATGCCAGATAAGCTTCCAAATTACTTTGTTCCTTGTTTTATTTTTCTTTGCAAAGGACATATGTTGCTCCATCACAATTTGGTGAGTAATCATCAATGACTATACAGATTCATTATATCCTTTCTTATCATACTAAAAAATACTGGAGTTTCTATTATTTTAGCATAGGTATTATTCTGAATTTCTGTTTAAATGCTTTCTCATTTCATTATTTGAGCAATAATATCTCAATAATTTCTCTTTCATCATCATCATCACCATCATCATTATTATTGCTATTGTAATAATTATTTGACAGGCATGTTCTTATTATCTAGCCCAAGTTGTTTTGCAATTATAATCCCCTGGCCTCTGTCTCTTCAATGCTAGGATTAGGCATGTGAGCTTTATGGTATGTTTTAGTGCCTGTTGGAGCTAGCCTTCGTCATTTATATTTTCATTTAAAACACATACTTTGGCTAGTGCTATGGCTCAGTGCTAGAACACTTAGCTAGCATGTGAAAAGCTCTGGGTTTAATTCCTTAAACCACCCATATAAAAATCCTTATGAGGCACAATTCAGCAG